TGATTTCATAGAACCACTATCATAAATTGCTCGTACAAACATTTCTTTAGAACCATTCTGAATTTTTACAATTAAAGTTTGAAGATATACATCTGATACCTTAACATAGTTATTAAGAATGCCTGTTTTGTTTTCGTCTTCATTCCCTAACTTTGTGGACACTTTTTGTTTTGTTAGAAGGCAAATCAGGGACATACTCGTAATCACAAAATGTCGATTTTTACATAAGGTACACCTATGTTTAGCTGTGCACTGATTTGCTCTATGGGTTTTTCTTAAGGCACACAAAACAAACATTCTTTTTCTTAATAATATCTTTCTTACATTCTAAACTCATTAAAGATGCATCTTTACAACTTTCAGACCAATGGGATTTTTCACAAAAAATACAAGTATCAAGACTTTTTATACTTTTGAAAAATTATCATTACACTATTACTACTATTTGCATTAATTAGTTCACATGCAGTTGGAACAACAGGTTTTGTGTCAAAAAACTTATTTTTCTTATTACTTACTTTATCAGAACCCAAAACATCACGGGTAAGTTTAACTCTAAATTCGGTTTCTACTTCCCTTTTTAGAAAATCAATTAATGACTCTAAATCACTCTTACCTGTTGTTTCAGGAGACATACCTCGTTGTCTTTCCCAAATTTGTATTAAATCAGCAGCAAGTGCTGATTCCACTAAAGGAAATAAAACAACTGCAGATTTAGTATCTGTAGTTAAACCGAGTGATTCCAATGCGCGTAGTTGAGTTTGCAACTTGTCATAAAGAGTTAATAAGTCTATCTTTTGTTTGTCATTGATTACCAGTTTTAATAGCTCTCTAACATAAATTTGAATTAAAAACATTTTCATTTCCAAATCGTTCTTTGAGATACTCCACGGCTTTTTTCGTAATTTTCTTCCGTAGCAGGAAAACTCTCCACTATTGCTCTTAGGCGCAGTCTCAGGTTTCGTAGATTGTAGTAGATAATGAAACTTGTCTCTCTTGTCGATGCGAGTATCTTCATGTATTTTACTAAACCTCGTTCCAAAAACGTCAACCACTTTCGGGAGTCTCCATCGAACTTCACCAGTTCGATCTCTGGCAATTTCTGTTTTGCGGCCGTAACTATTTCGGATGAAGAACCGCTATTCGTTGAACCAGTAGAAGGCTGTGAACACTTATCCTTTTTCCTGTTGGCTTTTACTTTCAACGTAGATAATTTATCGTAATATTCTTGAGCTGCACTAAATTCTCTTTCGTATTCTTCTTCAGTACAGCCTTTTTTCTGTAGAAGTTCCAAAAAAGAGTCATCCGTATTTCGTAAAGTTTTATACTTCTCTGAAATTTGATCTAAATAAATTTCTAAATCGTCCAAATCCGGAGAATCTGATCGTATCAGTTCATCTAACTTATTAGCTGTTTTCGTAAATACACTCCTAATTGCTTTCCGCTTCTGTTTTAGTGTTTCTAAATCATCCATGTTTGCACCTAGGAACTTCTCTTATTTTCGTAAATTATCAAGTGTCGAAATCGATAATGTCACCCTGTGACATTCATCCTGGCTGGCTCGCCAAATTTGTTGCTTAACAAGTAAATCATAGGTTCGAAAATCTGAGCCGACACTTTTTAAAAACACCAACATTTATTTTCACGACATTTCTAATTCTACAAAATCTTAAGTGCAACTAACTATCAAACAGAAAAGCAGACGTAGACGTAATGATGCATCATCTGGGCACGTGATCCTCGTGACAGACGAATTCTTTAGGGTTGCCACAGAAAGGCAGTGTGTCGCCACAAGAACAAATGGTAGCTGTGTTGTTTTCGGATACACTGAACAACAAATTTCTGGTCCTGCTCAATATGTGTGTCGTTACCAACGTAACTCTAAACAGAAGCATAACACTGTAAGGCTCACAAAACTTACTTTAAAAAAAGTATAAATGCACTATGCATATATTATTAACAAATGCCTCAACTGAAATGCAATAATAATCCTATTACATTCAATTATATCCTCCATTTTCTATAACATACTCCATTTCAATCGATTATGTATTCATGTTTAATTTAATACTCTTTGTTACACCGCGTTGATAAGCAAATGCAACGTATTTTGCGAATACTTATCCCGATCTGCTACTATAGAAAATCCTTTAGCAGCGTAAAAGTATCAGGGCTGTCCCCTTAGAGAAAATACGTTTTCGTATGATAACCATAGCCTGATCTATCATAATAAGCTGTTTCTCCCTCTTTGAGCGTCAAGGCAGTTAGTTCTCCAAAAAATATCCCATATTCCAATTTATACCTTTTTTTTAAAAAAAAAAGTCTTAATAAAGAATAGAGAAATGATGTATCAAATAATTTACAACAAAAAGTGAATTGAATTGAAATTGTACACGAATATATATCTGACAATCCTAGAAACTACTGGCTACCGACATTCATATGGGTAAAATTAAAATTACTTAGATAAAATTTTAAAATTCATTCCAGTTTGCTGTAAATGTTGAATTTAGAATGCATGTCAATAATATATTAAAGAAATTGTGGAGTTTAGAAGTGCGTAATTTAAATATATACCGTATATTCTTTATTGCATTTGTCAGTGTCTTTCAGTACACTGTAAAATAAAAGAGGTTTACATTTGTATACATACGTACAGGGAAATCAATTATAATTTACAGCATAACATTTCAAAACTAATGACTTACAGATTAAAGCAATGAACTAAGTACATTAATATATACATTAGTTTAAAATGACACTTTTATACTTTAAATTTAAAAAAAAAATGTGTCCTTGACTTTCAAATCTGGAACAGAAAACAGCAAATTTTTTATTTTTATTAAACTAAATTTGACAGATCAACAGCCAGAAGCCAAACGTCAAAGTAGTTCTACAAAACAAGCGAATTATTCCTTACCTTTAATTCAGGAGTTACTGCAGTCTTTCATGTCGATATTCCGGTCAAGCATGGTCTTAATTCTTTGACAATTGACTTTGAATAATGATATGTGTGAAATAAATAGCCCGATGAAAGTGGATTCATTAGCATAAAATGCATTGCTTCTATCCCAAAACTCTCGAGTTCTTTTGAGAGATTTTGATATCCATTAAGTACAGTTCCAAAAAGTATCCTTTACCTCCATGGAATGTATGTCAATGATATACTGCCGGAAAGTTACGGCAACTTCAAGGAAAATTTCCGACGCGTCGATTTTCACAATGGTCGAAACGATGACAGGAGACTTGCTGTTTATCGAGTAGTTCGCAAGTAATGACCGACACTCGGTGGTGTCGTAATGACCCGTTATTCTGTCTCGACGGTGTCCAGAATAGGGCTCTTAAAGTCCACGCCAAAACAATGTGCTGTCTTGCCTAATTTCTAAGTAAGTTGGTGTGTTTATCTTCCTATTTGGCTAGAATAGATTGTTTATTATGGTAATTCAATCAAATCATCAAGATAAAACGTTGTAGCAAATTGAACAGAAAATTGTTGCTTTCGCATGAAAACTCACCAGTCGAAAAATTTAGAGGATGTTATTGAGCAAGGAGGTTAGAACTCATGGAGATGCCTTCCACGCAGTCCAAAAATTGCCAAAAAAGGGGGAAAGAATGCCCTTAGTAGTCGTGGCTTAGAAAGATTGACGTGCTCTAACTACACCCAATTTTCTTCCCGGTAGTCGTAAAAGAACGCAGATTCTTCACTCCCTCTTTCCCTTACTTTTCTCGCCATTTCATTTTATTTCGACATTATGTAATTGCTATAATTTTTACATTATGTAATTGCTATAATTTTTACATTTTGTAATTGCTATAATTTCTACATTATGCAATTACATCCTGCAATTAATGAATGCTAGCATTAAAAGTATTGTGAACACGAAATAGTAACTATGTACTCAAACTATAATTTGATTATACTTTACTTATTTTAATTATATATAATTCTCCAATTGTCATGGTATAAATATTACTTGTGTTTCGAAAAAACTTAATTTGAATAAACAATGGTAGAAATATGTAAATTTTACGTTGTTATTTTAAAACTCACACAACAAATGTGATTCAAAATCAAGTCCAGTTGTTATATATTTACTTGAGCACAAAATAAAATGTAAAGTCACAAAAGGTAAGACCTGTAATGTAATTATGATCAGACATTAAAGTAAACTGTTTTCTTTTCCATGGAGAGCTAGCCACGCACCCTCCCCTTGTTTACTTATCATTTTGCCATCACATATACGTTAATTACGAATATTACTTTTATTATTATTATGAAAAGGTAAATCTGAGAACTATATATGTTTCTTCTTGTACTTTACACATAGAAGATACTCAAACCCTTTCTTGAAGGCCATTCAAACACACATTTCGATTATTCTACTTTTTTATGCACGTTCTAAAACATTCTTTTACATAGACATGAAGTCGGAAATGTAGACATTATCTCGCTGTAACAATTCAGTGCCTTTTAGGCCTTTCACATCTACGCATACAAAATTAGAAAACACACTGAGAACTTGAAACCAGCTGGCGTTTTACCTCACTTCGCTTAGTAAGGTAACAGTTTTCTTGCCCTCACTTGGCGTGGCTTACTTCCTTCCCCTGGCTTCACTTTATTCGTACTGCAATAGCAGAGATGCCATCTCCATGTATTCTAACTTCCTTGTTATTGAGGGTTGGTTTGAAGATTGATAACGCACGTGGTTTTACTGAAATCTGATGCTTACCAGAACTCAGCCGCTAGAGTGAAAGATGTTAATGAAACATGTATAGATTTAATTTCGTCTTGGCAGCGCTTGATTTTTTTAACTTTTTCAAGCTGCAGAAATTGACTGGCGAGTATTGAGTTATTTAAAAAAAAACAACTCGTACAAAATGTATGAAGCTCCTTTTTACTCTCCTCAAATACCAAATTGCTCCTCTTTCTATATACCTTTCCTTTGCACCTATGCTTGATTTTTCGCCCATCGGTGCAGAAAGACTTAGCTGGTGCAAAACAAGAATCTGTCTACTTTGTCTGTCTGTTTGTCCAAAGAATTTGTCTGTCTTATTTAAAAAATGCTTTACTGCATTAGAAATTCTTCTAGTATTTTTCTAAAAGTATACTGTACTAAATTAGCTGAAGTGCGATTTTTGCGAAATACTGCACATAGATCCCCCGGCCCAAGATTGTTGGAAGGTAAAGTTAAAACTGTGACTAAAATATCCGACGAGAATTTGTTCCCTCGAATTGAAAGTTATGAAGATTTATTAAAAAGTTTCAGAAATTCTGATAGTGCAGTAAGCGAATTAGATCTAGAGGAAGCTTTAACTACTGGAGATGATTTCGGAAGTGTATTTGAAAAATGTGATCGGGTATATGCCGTTCATAAAAGGTTAGTTAAATTTAATTTTGATATGCAAAAAATTTGAATTTAATGTTCGTTTTCCACCTTATATAAATTATTTTCATGCATACTCATGTGTATAAATATGTTTGTAATAAATGAAAGAGTAGGGAAACTTTCGTCTGGTCAGTTCCACTACAAATAAATAATTTATTACTTTTAATTTAAATTATGCAAAAATGAACTTTGAACATATTATGAGTTTGAATTTTGAAAATTCCTTATGTATACTTTCGTTGTTTCGTATAATATCATTGCTTTTAAATTAAATAATTTTCTTAAACCTTAAAAGTGCATTTGGTGTTATGCTAACAATTCATTACTATTTCTAAGCTTGCAAATCGGATTACATTTACACACTTTCATAAAAGTAATTGTTATTTTCAAGATGTAAATTAATTGTCTTGTTTATTTTAAACTATTATGGTAATAATTAATATTCGGGGAAAGTTACTTAATTTTTGACATTTAACAAAATGCTTATTTAATGATAACATGTTTTTAATAAAGTAATTAAAAGTAAAGCCTATGACATGCACCACGACAGATGGAATGTTAGTGTATTTTGAGCAGATCTTTTACGAATAATCTCCAGTGCCAGTGTACCTTCAGCTGAACATTAACTATTAATATCAGCGTTTCGAAAATATTAATGTGTTAGATAAGACTGTTGATTCTCAGTGACGTTTTACTAAATATCCCTTCTGGGCAGAAATTCATTTTATGTACTTAACTTCAATACAAAATCAATAGTAAAATTTTTTTGCCCTGTGCTTTGAAGAGAGGAGTTACTGTTTTAACTGCTTTATTGCATACAAATGCACAAATACATAGATCAAAGAACACCAAGTGATCTGAGGAGGGTATTTCCCGAGTCGAGACAGATTGGGAAACGGGCCATGCATACCAACAGCCTGGCTCATTACTCAAATCAGTGCTCATATTTAGAGACTAATTTTTCACTCATATCTCGAATTTCTCGTATATAGAGTTGCTCGTATCTTGAGGTTCCACTGTATTAGAATGTAATCTGAAGTTTTCAGATTCAAATTTCCTTTGTTTTATTTATTTATTTAATCATTAACTTAATTGGCAATAGTCCTCTAAATTCAAATTTTAAATACAACTCCTTCAAAGGCACACTAATGTCACTGATGTCATTATTTCCTTGCAGTAAACTGCAATGTGAAATCTCTTGTCCAGTCCTCATTTAGGACTTGCACAATACCAATAATGAATTATTGGTGGATTATCGCACGATGTTACCAGCTCTGCTGAAATAATGCCGTGAGAGCGGCAATTGAGATTATACTCCACGTGAAGGGTTTTGTGTCCGTAGGACGGTGACTTGAATCCGGAGAAGAAGGGGGTGTCGATGTTACACCATGAGGTGACGATCAGTGCGGCTACACCTGTCGTCGCTCAGGAGAAACTGAAGCTCTGCCAAAGGAACGTCTAACAAATACTGAGACAGTTGAAAACGATTACAAATAAATGATAAAATGAAAGACTATGTACATTATATATATAGATACGTATGTATAAAATATCCAGCAGGCCTTAATTTATGTGACAAAGTTTTCATTTGCCAATAAATGGGCAGTGAAAGGTCGAAGTAATTTGTCGTTGTGAAGAATCTCGTAGCCGAAAATTTCTGAATAGTTGACAGTCCGGCAATTTATAGCCTTGGTGAAAAATCTGTCATTCAGATCATTAAGTAGTGTATGCATTCAGGACTTGCACAAAGCCTTGCAAGCCTGTTTATAGGCCAGCTGCTCAATATACATCACCTTTTTATTGTCTACTGTCGCTTTGTAAGCATGTAATTAACCTCTTACCTATTTTTCATCCATGGTAATGATGTAATCTGCATATAATAAAATTGTGGGACACATATAGCACTATTAGTATTGTACCAATCAAGAATAAATGCTCTTAGGTATCAGGACCAGGTTTAGGAAATGTGTGTACGTTTGCATGCGTTAATGTATGGATGTATGCATGTACATATATATACACTCATAGATACATACTCCCGTGTATACACATGTACATTTCTGAATCTGGACCTGATAACAGAAAAGTACTTCTGCTTCTAAAGAATTGTTCCTGTTCAGAAATAAAAATAGATACTTAACCTTCATGATGCCTGCATCATTATACATTGTAATGTCATCACCATACCACACACGACTGCTAAATTTATTGGGGTCTTCTTTTCTCACCAAACTATTAAAAAAACAAATCATATATATATATATACACACACATAGGTTATTTTTTAAGCAAGTCCCATTTCTGAATCATTTGAAATTTTGTTTGCACCTGAGAAGGAATGTACATGCAGTTTGCTGGGATTCTTTGCACAGCACCTGTACTCAAGATGCCAATCCATATGCTTCCTAGTGTCAGATTACAAATTTTAAGAAAATTGAGCATCCCATGAGTCATCCAGTTCTTAACAGCAAGAAATATGAAATTTGTGGATATTTGTCGCCATACATATAAAGCAAATGTGGCAATGTGATATGACAAAGTTGGAACATTGATGGAGAAATGAAACGACCATGAATAACTGGCTATCATCACAGGTGGCAGTGTCCTATGAGTAGGTATCCCAAAACTCATTCTTTGTAATATTTAAACTTTGGCATTGCCACATGAATAAATCATGTAAGTAAATAGAGAATTGTCTCTAAATACAGAAAAGAAATGGTGGTAAAAATATATTTAGGGGTAGCCCTTGGTGTAAATCAATGATTTTGGGAGGTACATGGATACCGAGTTTGTGCAATTCTTTGACTTGTTATTTTGGCTTTGTGTAGTGCCGATTTTGCACCAAAAAATCCTTGCTACACAAAGCCAAAATAACAAGTCAAAGAATTGCACAAACTTAGTATTCATGTACACATCGACCTATTTTCACTTAAAAAAAAATCAGAGAAATGCACAAACTTGGCATTGCATCCTCCCTTGATTTTGTCCATGTAGACATAAATCTATTATCATTTAAAAAGCCAAAGGAGCAGCCAACAAAAAATATACAATCTCAACAAACTACATTTTAAATCAACTAACATAAAAAAGGAAACTCAACTTAGCACTACACAAAGGAAATATCCACTTATCTTATTTAGAAATTTTTCTGTCTTAAGTTAAACAGAAATCCTCAACAGCATCCAAGAACTTCCTAAAATTATCTGAACTAGAATCTGTGTACTGGCATTGCCACATAAATTCACAAAGAGTAAAAAATATCCTCTGTAGTGCCGGTATCCTCCAACAAACAGGAAACTTATAATGACTATTAAGTAAACCTTCATTTACACATTAGTCAATTAATGCTCTTTTTCCCTTTCATTCCAAATCATACAGAAACTTGAAATTTATCTTACCACATTCACCCATTTTACCATCTAAACCACAAAAGAGCAATGTACTTCCTAACCAACACCCCCCAAGCCCTTACAAGTCTTTTCCCATCATTCAAATTCACTGCAGTCACACAATTATGTCGTAATAGTATTTCCATAACATTCAACTACTCAGGCCACCATAAATGAAACAACAACTTCGCAATAATACAAGGGGCACCCTTAAATCTACTATTAAACGGAAATGGTTTTCTTTAAATGTTTTACTTGTTTCATATTTATTACAAAATGGACCTTACTTAATAATAACCCTCATATATATATATATGTATATAGCTCAGTGTTTATTTTATTTTCTTAATAATTTCTGTCACCATAAATTGTTTAACACGTTCACACCAAGCCCAATTTTTATGTTCTTCGCCATGAGACGGCGCTCAAATTTTTGTCTCGTTTCAACTGGCGGCACACGATTATTACCTGTTCAGACCTGTATACGAGTTGTACATTTGCTGATAGTTATTAATTATAATTGTTATTAAAAATTTTTTATAATAAACATTAGTTTTTCATTATTTTAATTTTCAGCGTCTAATAACATAATCAAATGCGTACCATCGGTGGCACGCGCCACCCGATAAGACAGACTAGTGCGGGCCACTAGTGGTACGAACCGCCTGATGAGATGGACTAGTGTGGGCCACTGGTTGCCCACGCCGGCGTGAACGTGTTAAGCTGTTTCATTTTTCTGGGGAAATAACGTTTTCTTTAATTTCACAGAGCTATATAATTTCTTGTTCAGTTACAAAGTTCTCTTGTTTAAGTCTTGCAATTGCTACATTGAGTATTCACATTAAAGTGTTAATTGAAATCATTTCCTTTTCAAAAACCTCTTTATCTGGCCGTTAGTTGGAGCATTATCATTCAAGAGGAAAACTTTAGTTATATCATCTTTGTTTAGTATTTCTCCGCATATTGAATTAACTCTTGTTTCATATTAAACTAATTGAAAAATTTACTTTTTACTTGTGTATCCCAAAACTTTTAAATTCACAACTATCATCATCATCATTGTGAAATATGGTATCTAGTCATAAATTATGCTTTATGTTTTGTAAAATATTTAACACATACTTCAATTACTTTGCCGTGCTTAATGATACAGATTTTACAGTAAAGTATTTTAAAAATTCTTGCTTGGTCTTGCTGCTATTCAGAAAGTTTAGCATCAATTTAGAAAGGCTAGTACTGTACATAGTTCAAGATGATGCGGACATCCAATATCCAGAATTATCTAAAATCCGGACCTTAAAGCCACCAACAAAAGTTTTTTAATGCTTTACGCATGCACATTTGATTTTTTTCCCCTTTAAGAAAGCATGTGAAGAATCCCGATTCTTAATTTCACTTTGGTACTAAATAAAATACCTCGTTATTGAAGAAACAATCCTTTTAGCATAAATTTGTGTGATCAATAATTTGGCTCTGTAGCTGTGTACCTCCTTTTCCAATTAATGGATTTTGTAAAGAAATGTGGAGAAGTGGTAATAAGTGAAGATGATATAACAGAAGTTTTTCATTTCAATGGCAGCGTTCCAATCACCAATCAATTAA